TCATGCACCCATCGCCCCAAGCAAAGTCTCTATCCATCCCCATTTCCCCCACCCTTTGCCCATCTCCACCTATCCCACCCCCCTTTCCCTCTATCACTACACTGTTGTCTGTGTCTATGTAGCTTAATCCTTCACCTTATTTCATCCAGCCCTTAAACTCCCTCCCCTCTGACAGCTGTCAGTCTATTCCATGTATCCATGCCTCTGTTTCTATTTTGTTCATCAGTTTATTTTGTTCATCAGACTCAACATACAAGTGAGATCAGATGGTACTTTCTCTGACTGATGATACGCCATTTTAATTCCCCTTTACTCCTAAGAATATTTTTCATGTTTACTATCGACTTAAATTTCTTCTTTTATGTATTTTCTTATTCCCATCATTTGCACATTTTCTAGTAAAATACTTATATTTTTTTCTTACTGCTCTGTAAATCTTTATATATTAAGAATAATGAGTCTTGCCCAGCCAGCATGGTTCAATGGTTGAGCCTCAACCTATGAACCAGGAGGTCATGGTTCGATTCCCAGTCAGGGCACATGCCTGGGTTGCAGGCTCGATCCCTAGAGTGGGGCATGCAGGAGGCAGCCAATCAATGATTCTCTCTCATCACTGATTCTCTCTCTCCTTCTCCCTTCCTCTCTGAAATCAATAAAAATATATTTTTTAAAAAGAATAATGAGTCTTGTTGCAATTGTTTCTAGTTTCTTCATTAACTTTATTTATGATTTTGTGCAGAAATTTAAATTTTTCATATACTTAATTATGTTAATATTTTCTTTATTATTCTACCTTTGATATAATACATATAAATATCTTCCCTACCCCAAGATTATATATTCTCCTATATTTTTTAGTTCCTTTATCATTTCTCTCTCTTTTTAAAAAATTTTAGATTCTTTAATGAAGCAGTTCCCAAACAGGATTACACATCAGAATTGCTTACAGAGCTTCTTTAAATGCTCATGTCTTAAGACTGAATTACAATTTGGGAGGGGGGGTGAAAGCTGAACAGAAATATTGTTAAAGGCACCATAGGCAATTCTGATGCACCCCCTCCTTTATTAAGAAACTATTTTTTTAAATATATTTTATTGATTTTTTACGGAGAGGAAGGGAGAAGGATAGAGAATCAGAAACATCGATGAGAGAGAAACATTGATCAGCTGCCTCCTGAACACTCCCTACTGGGGATGTGCCCGCAACGAAGATACATGCCCTTGACCAGAATCGAACCTGGGACCCTTGAGTCCGTATGCCGATGCTCTATCCACTGAGCCAAACCAGTCAGGGCAAGAAACTATTTTAATCCTTCTAAATTTATATTGGTATCATTTTTCCAAATCATTTCAGTACATTTCAAGAATTTGAAATGCTACTTTGATAAACTCCATGACAGCAGAGACCATACCTGTTTTTACTGACCATTATGTCATAGTGCCTGGTGCACAACTGGTGCTTCCTAAATGTATTTATTTGATTGATTGATTGATTGATTGATTTGAGAGAGACAGAGAGAGAAAGAGAGAGAGAGAGAGAGAGAGAGAGAGAGAGAGAGAGAGATTAATTTGTTGTTCCACTTATTTATACATTCATTGTTTGATTCTTGCATGTGCCCTGACCAGGAATCAAACCCACAACCTTGGCATATGGGGACAATGCTCTAGTCCAGCGGTTCTCAACCTCTGGGTCGCGACCCCTTTGGCGGTCGAACGACCCTTTCACAGGGGTCGCCTAAGACCATCCTGCATATCAGATATTTACATGATGATTCATAACAGTAGCAACATGACAGTTATGAAGTAGCAACAAAAATAATTTTATGGTTGGGTCACACCATGAGGAACTGTATTTAAAGGGCCAGAAGGTTGAGAACCACTGCATCTAATCTAACCAATTGAGTTACCTGGCCAGGGCCATAAATGTTAACTGAATAAATAAACAAGAACTGACAACACAAGTCTTCAACCTTATCTCACCTCAAACTGGCTAGTCTTCTCTTTAACATTTCCTTGACTATTAGGCCAAAAAAATTGATGTTATTAATATTGATCCTGAGTTAGCAAAAAATATTAAATTATGCCCAATACACTCTGTTTAAAGTGGCCAGGAAATGTATTAGAGGGCTCCATCAAGAAGTCAAAATAATTACATTGGCCATGTTTAAGAGGTATGGGAATTCTGATCCAGTTCTCCACGGAGGAACTGAACAGAGGTGACTTGAGAAACTAAGGAAACTTGGCTTCCTCTAGCACTTAGAGTTCCTCAGCTAGCTTCAGAGACTGACTCAGAGCTTCCATGAGCTGAAAGGCCCACCCATACCCTCTTCCATGAGCCCATGGAAAGAAAATCAGAATAAGGGATCAGGAGACCTGAGTCACTACTATCAACCTGTTTGACCATGGGGGTTGGGCTAGAGGTTTTCTAAGGCTCTCTTCAGTTCTAAACCTCTAACTAGAGACCCAAACAGACTACCACAGTGTGGGGCTTCCAAGAACAACATGAAATTGCCTGCAGGGAATAGTAGTAGTAGAAGTGTAGTAGTAGAAACAACAGCTATTGGTAAATTTTACTGAGCACTTATTATATGATACACAATATTCTAGACGTCTCACTACTAGTAATAATGGCACACACCTCATAGGACACTTACTGTGTTCCAAGTGGTTTGCATATATTAATTCAATCTTCACAACAACCCTATAAAGTGAGTCCTATTATTATCCCCATTTTACAAAGGTGAAAACTGAGACACAGAGAGATTAAGGGACTTGCCCAAGGTCTCACAACTATCAAAGGATGGAACCAATGAGTTGAACCCAGACCCATACTTTTAACTACTATACTATACTGCCACCCAAACTATTACTGTATAATGCTTTCACTTCAGAGGTTGCACAAAACAAGAAATGTGTTATAGTTACTTATGTATCAAACTCCCCTCTTCACTAATGCTAGAAAAATTAGTTTTTACTCCAATGTGATTTTAGACAGATCAGATTCCAGGGCCTGAGATAGCAAAATATATCATTTATTAAGAAAATAATTACCTTTTTATTAAAAATTGTGATCCATTAAAATATATGTATTATAAAATAAATAAATCATTAACTACTGATGACATTTCCATTGAACACAGACAAAACACATGTGCTTTTTATGCATCATTTAAAACACTACTTCAGAGCCTCACCTGCTCAAACTCGTCCCATATTTTCATAATTGGCTTTTAAACAGTGACCTGACAGCCCACAGGTGTCTCAAACAAAACAAGCCAAACGAAACGAAGTACAGTAACTTCCTACCATCCATCCCCATGCACTTCTCATCACCTCCCACATTCCCCATCTGAGTGAATAACACCAATGGCCCCAGGCTCACTTCCTCCCACATCTGGTCACTGAATATTTCTAGAACTCATTCCATTCTATCTTTGTTGCTCCTGTTTCTGCCCAGACATTTACCATCTCTTCCCTAAAGCAGAAACTCTCCAAATGGCTCTTGGCTTTCATTCTATCCAGCTCCAACCCCACTTCAACACTGCTGCCAAAGTCATCTTCCTAAAACAAAATCTGACCATGTTACTGACATGTTTAGAATCTTTGTCTTCAGGATAAAGTGTAAAGTCCTCCATAGAACATACAAGGCTCTTTTTTATCTGGCCCCCCAACTACCTTCCCAGCTTCATCTGAGGTCATGCCCCACACATCTCACACGAGGCACACAGAGCAACTTGGAAGTTCCCAAACAGTGCTTCTCTGTCTGCCCAGAATGCAATTCTCTCATTTGCCCATCTGGCAAATTCCCACTCACTTATTTAGACCAGCTCAAAACTCAAAGTTCATTATGCTTTCCTCTGGGCATCTATTGCATTTTGTACCTCTCCCTATTATAACACTTATTCAGCCTGACACAATTTTTGTTTATTTGTCTGTCTTTTCCATAAGACAAGGAACTGTCTAGTGTCCCGTGTATTATTCAACTCTGTATTTTGTTTATTGAATGAATGAATATCTCAGGATTTAACAAGAATATTCAAACTGCTCCAGATAAATGCCTATTGTGTGAGTCAAAGCAGGCATACAGGCCGAATCCCATTTCAACAAATGTCTTTAACTTGACAATCCTCATATCAAAAATAGTTGTTACATTTGTGTGACTCCATACTTGAAGCCATAACCAACAGGATAGTTTTTAAAAGCTTCATTAGACCACCAACAAACCTACCTGTTGAGTATTTATAGACATCTGAACTCTTCATTCTACCCCATCCTTATCCTTTTGTGGGTCATAGGCCAATTTGAGTAGTTTCTCTATCATGTCTTAAACCTACACTCCCTTTTGATAACATAAAAATCCCACGCACCCCTGAAGATTCTGATACTATCCCAAAGGATAGTATCAACCCCACTAAAAATAAGAAATCACTTTGTGCCAGCAGCAATTCACAGCTTCACAAGAGATATAATCCAGCAGGCAAGATACCAGTGAGCTTTGCTCTTGACTAATTCATAATATTAAACAGGCATTTTCCTTCTATCACCAAACATAAACATTGTGACATTAAATATGCTTTAAAGTTTTTACTGGGAAGAGGATGCTAGGAAGGTGTTGACATCTGTCTCCTTCACCTTTGGGAACCTTATGATAGAAAATTGCCAGAAACAAATGAAAAACACAAATATGAAAAAATATGCTGTTTCTTCATATATAACCCCCACGAGCACATGTTCAAACAAAGGAAGTTTTTTGGAAATGCTTCTGGCACGACATTTTCTTTCTACTTCCCCCACCACCCCTCCATCCCCACTTTAAAATATTTTTAACTTCTAGCTAGCAGAAACTTCTTCTAAACACAAATGCTTTGTCCTTGTGAAGACAAAGGGTTAAATTAAAGAAACAGCTGGCTGCCTGCCACTAGCTGAGGTTGAGGGAACTAGGGATGGAAGATAGAGAAGGAGGAAAAACCAGTTAGAGGAATGAGTGCTAATTTTCTTACCCTGCCACATGGCCATGTTGATCCTATCCACTCCCACGTTGGGGTCACAGCCTGAGTTTCCCAGAGCACCCCAGTTTTGTAGGGAGGCCTTAACGGGATATAGATGGAACAGCAGCAGTATGGTCTTACTTTATGACAGATGTTCAAGCCCCAACCCTGAAAATGTAAATAAAAAATGGAAACTTGAATTTAAAAAAAATATTTCAAATCCTTGAAAATGATCTCCTGTCCCTCCCTAAATCTCTATTTCAATGATATGCAGACAGACAGTATCAAGTTCCCCCTAAGCAGCAAGGGATCGCTACAGAAACATAAAATGGGGAGATCAAGAGTCAGTTCACATTGCCACTGAGTGCTGTCCAATTCTGCGTGAATCACGGGACCTTCAACAAATGGGATTTGGAATCTCAAGAGTGGGTGCTTGGATAAGATAATTGTTAAGCATCTTTCCTATCTTGATGTTCCATGCTTTGGGAAATAAAGAGCAGCATAATATCCAATGCTCTCCCCAAACCCCCGACTTCACATTAAAAGAAACTGTAGAAAGGACAGCAAATTTTGTGACTACTTAAAGTTTAAAATAGATATTATATAGGAAAAGAAAAGGAAGGAAGCATAATAAAAAAAAGAGTGATGGCCTCTGTGTGGTTCTTCCTCTCTGCTTCATTATACTTTCCACACTTTGCCAATGTCCTATCGGGAGCATATGTTGCTTTTATAATGGGGGAGGGGGTGGAGAAAGACCAAAGAAAAAATAAAATACTAATTTAAGTAAAGTCAAATTAATCCAGCTCATTCCTATTTTGAAAATGTCAAATTCCACCTTAGGACAATACTATTTGCAAGGATATAAAAGATGCTAGGGCCCAGCCAGTGTTGCTCAGTAGTTGAGTGTCAACCCATGAACCAAGAGGTCACTGGTTTGAATCCCAGTCAGGGCACATGCCTGGGTCCCTGGGTTTTGGGCTTGATCCCCAGTAGGGAGCATACAGGAGGTAGTTGATCGGTGTTTCTCTCACATTGATATTTTTATCTTTCTATCCCTCTCTCTCTCTAAAAAAAACTCAATGAAAACATTTTTTAAAAGGCGCTAGGAATGGGGGGGAAATGAAAGATTTGACTACTTTGATTTCGAGTGTAATATATTGAACACTTTGCTTGTCCATTTAAACAAGTTCTTAATAAATTGGTTTTCCTTGACTGAGCATATCAGCCAACTTGCTTTTTTTAAAGAAAAAGTTCTCACCTTTCTGACCTGATCAACATCAAAGCACATTGCTATTTCCATAGCTTTTATTTTTTTTAAAAAAAATTTGATCGGCCCTAGTGGGTTTGGCTTAGTGGATAGAGCGTGGGCCTGGGGACTGAAGTGTCCCAGGTTCGATCCCCAGTAGGGGGCGGAAACCATAAAAATCTAACCTCCCCCATTCAAAATATATTTTTTAAATATATTTTTATTTATTTCAGAGAGGAAGAGAGGGAGAGAGTGAGATACAAACATCAATGATGAGAGAGAATCAATGGTCAGTTGCCTCCTGCACATCCCACACAGGGGATGGAGTCCGCAACCCGGGCACCTGCCCAGACAGGGAATCAAACCCTTCCTGGTTCATAGGTGAACGCTCAACCACTGAGCCACGCTGGCTGGGCTCCATAGCTTTTATACATGCAACACCTCCACCGTGAAATGAAAGCACTAGCACACATGTACTGAAGACTAACCGAAACTTCAGAGTGATCATTTTGGCCTTCTTAATGGATGTTTTAAGGACAAAGTGCGAATGGTGTACACTAGTTTCAAAAACACCAACAGAGAAAAGACAATGTTTTGCATAAAGAAAGATCCACAAAGTCCTAGGATGGATTCGCCAGGGGGGAAAAAGGCGCTCCGAGAACTTACTTATCCGGAACCTGGAACAGTGTTTGGGTTTGCCTTATTCCCGCCCCCCCCCAACCCCCGCCCTTATTTCGGGTGCAGTTACATAGTATCGATCCACACTTAGTGGAAACATGCAAAATTTAACATCTCTGAAGTCCATCCCAGGTAATTGCTAATAAACGTATGGAGTTTATGTAAAGCAGATTCTTACTGGCTTTTATGCTCCACACTTCTGGATTTCCTTCACTTAGTCGAGGTAGCTTACACTGACGTTATCAGGCGCACATGTACAGCTTCACTTGGCAGTCCAGGAAACTGATTTGCTCTGAAATGTAAGGTAAAGGCGCATCCATGTGAAGGAAAAGCCCTCCGTGGTGAAGGCACTCAGGCGCAAGCCTGGACAATCTGGAAAGAACCGCCTTTCCGCTAAGTGGGAAAAGAAAAACTAGCAGCAACTAGTTTTCTGAGAGTTTGGACTCCACTTTTAGTAAGACCCACACCACCCAGTGAGTCCCGAGCAGGAGGCAGAAGAACGGGGCCTTGACAGCTTTCCAGCCAAAGCCACCCTGCTCCAGCTCTGGAAAAGGGACGCCTTGCAGCTAACCTCCCCCTTTCAAAAGCGGGCGGGCTTGGCGCCGCTCCGCAAGAAAACTTTGCTGGGACGGCGCAGGGACCATAGCTCGGAGACTAGGGCTGGGCTCCCGAGAAGATGCCACCCTTCGCTGGCTAGAACTAGCCGGTCTAACTCCTTCGAGTGCCAGGCGGCGGCCAGGCTTGGGGAACCCCCATCTCCAGGGGGCCGAGCCAGCGGGGAAGCGCTTCTCCCTGTCGCTGAACGCAGGGGGTGCTGGGGGGTGGGCCAGGAGCCAGCGGGCCGCGAAGGACCTGTTGGGGAAGGGACAGCTCGTATGTCTTTACCTGTCGCCGAGATCTGGAGCGGTGGAGCCCGTGTCCGCGGCTGGCGGGCCGGGCGCTCAGTTGGCTCTGGCGCCCAGAACACCAAGTTGAGCTAGCGCCCCACGTAGCCGGCTGAGCTTCATTCACAGCCCTGCTGGGAGGAGAGGGAGCAGAGCGGGCGCGCGGCTCACGTGACGGGCGCCTTGCCAAGTATCGGCCAAGCACAGTTGACGTCTGCGCCTGCGCGCCCTGGCGGGGGCCCTCTCCCCACACCTTGGGCAAGCGGGGAGGGGGCGATGCCAGCTCTGGTGGCGGCGGGACCTAAGCTGCAACTGAGATCGAGGAGCTGGGAGGGGTTTACGCTTGCGCAGCCGCAATAGGTAGCCCCCCCCCTTCGCTGCCATATTTAATGAGGACTGGGCAGGCCCTAAACCCACTGCTGGGCGTGTCCATTGCTTTTAGTACTGCATTGTGTTTCACTGTTTCGAGCCTGCGGAATGATTTTTGGTTTTGTCCTTAGCATGAAACTGTTTATCCGGAGCTCCTAGCCCACAGAGTAGTTAGTAGTAGAAATCGAATACTGATTCTATTAGCTCACGAATTTTAAGCCTCTAATAATATGTGAGACACTTTTCAAGACCTTTATTATTTTCATATCATTTAATGCCCACAATAACCCCATTGTTTAGGGACTATTATTTCTCCACTTTTATTTATAAGAAAACAGGGATACAGAAAGGTTAACTTGTCCTAACTCACATAGTGGAAGTTAAGAATAGTGATCAAATATAGTGATGCTTATAACAGCCAACTTGATTCTCATTGCACTGGGAAATCTACATGGCAGTTTTTAGTATTTTATCCATTTTAATAATTAAAATAGAAAGGGAGGTTCAGAAAAGCAAAAATCACATGTCTTAGTAAGTGATAGTAAGTGCGTCTACCAGTCGCCAAAACCCTTGCCCTAGTATTATAAGTCACAGCTCCTCCTTTTACAGAAGAAAAAACGTCAATTGCATTGACTTTTATGTAAGACTAGAGGCTGGGAGCACAAAATTTGTGCACTGGGGGGGGGGTTGTCCCTCAGCCTGGCCTGCACCCTCTCACAATCCGGGACCCCTTGGGTAGGGTCCCTAGGCCTGGCCGATGATCAAGGCATATCTGGGCTTTCCTTCCCCTGGCTGCCAGCATCTGGCTCCACACATGCCACTGCCACTGCTTGCCATCTGTACAACACTGCCCCCCCTTTCTCCTGTCACTGGTCCCTTCCCTCTGCAGGTGACAGGCGTGGGGTGCGATCCCTTGGCTGGCCTGGGCCTCCTCTGCGGGGTGATCACTGCCCCGCACACCCGCCACAGCGTCACCAGCCCGTGGCCTGGGCCTCCCTCTGCAAGGCAATCATGGGGTGATGGAAAGGCCTCCCGACCAATCACATCACACCTGCCTTGGCTGGCCTGGCGCCAGTGTGTATCATAGCGTAGTCATCTGGAAGGTCGTCCAGAAGGTCATCTGGACAGTCGTTCTGCTGTTCCGTCATTATGTCAGTTTGCATATTATGCTTTTATTATTATAGATGATCCTGCTAACCAGCTAGTGGTGGAACTGAGATTAGAATCCATATAATCAATCCAGGTAATCTAACTAGAACCCCAGGGCTCTAATTACGAGCCTACTGTAGTGAGCAACTTTCAATGCCTACTTTGGGCAAGCTAAGGGGCCAGGGATACAAAACATCCAGTCAGTGCAAAGCCACCAAGGACAAATCTGTAATCTAAAAAGTCAGGCTTGCCCTGGCTGGGTAGCTCAGTTGGTTAGAGCATTGTCTGGATATGCCAAGGTTGTGGTTCAATCCCCAGGTTCAGTCCCGTTCAGGACACATACAGGAATCAGTTAATGAATGCATGAATGAGTTGAACAACGAATGATGGCTGTCTCTCTCTCTCTCTCTCCCTCTCCCTCCCTCGCTCTCTCTCTCTCATCAATCAATAAAATTGTTTAAGTCAGGCTTTTTGACCCATTGCAATGAGGGAGACCCCACACCAGAAAAACCATGGGACATCTCAACAAACAAAGAAAAAAAGTCATTATAGGATTCAGGGGGAAGGGTGGAGTTTAGGTAGATTTTAAACGAAGCATTGTTTTGGTGAGGTCAAAACCCGGCTGTGTGAAGAGGTCAACATCAGGTCCGGGCTGTGAATCCAGAGTCCTGTTTCCTTGGGAACCACAAAGCAAAGATAGATGTGGAATGTTATGTCCAGATACCTCTTATCTGAAGCTCTGCACCTGGACAAATGTGGGATGTTTTATTCTCACTACTACGATTTCAAGCAATCTGGTTATAAGCAGATTTGTCGTGAAGCTACCTCTATAGAGTGAGCATATTGGCTCTACTTGGAATAAAGTCATTATTTGGGAGAGTTTGGGCAGGAGTGATTTATGGTGAATATAAGATGGATGCAGTACACCCATGTTACCACTTGGAGTCACCGCTGACAGCTTGGTATAAACTCCTGTGTGTACAAGGCTATTCACTGTAACACTGTTTGCAATAACAAAACATGAGAAACAATCAGATGTCCATCAATAGGGACCTGATCTAATAAATAATGGTACATCTATTGAGTGAGAAAACTCTTTATGTAAAATTCTCTATGGTATATAGTATGTGAGAAAAGCAGGATGTGGAGTTGTGCACTTTCTCCATTTTTTGCTATTGAAGCATATTATCCATTCAATTATATATCTTAAAAAGTTATATGGAAAATTTTTTGAATAGCCTGTCAAGGATAGTGTTCAGATTGAAGAGCCAGTTAGTTAGCTTACTACCAGCTGAAGAAAAACCCCATCGGCCCCGTTAGTGAGCATATACTAGAAAGTCTATGGTATGCAAATCCCAGTCTTTATAGTTCTTTCATTGGGCCCAGCATACTTTTTGACAGATAGTTATGAGAAATTTTACTTTTTAAAAATGCCATATCAGATTGTCCAATATTTGAGAGAAGTCCAATTCTATCTACATTGGTGCTACCGGTATGCTAACGGGGCAAATATAAGAGTTTGTTTAGGGAGTGCTTTGGAGGATTTGCAGGTCTCTAATCTGTTGAGTCCATCCAGATCTGTATAGCCTTCTGTTCTGTGAAGGACTGAAGCACATGGAACAATGTTAGTGGTTTCTCGGAACCAGGTGGAACCTGTTCATCCCCTAGTGTGAGAGGTCCCTGAGAGCACAGTCCATGGCCTATACTTCCTTTATATTCATCACAGCAGTGCTTTTCAAACCATTTGTGAAGAACGACAATTTCCCCACAAATCCATCATGTTCCAATACTTTTACAAATTACAATAAAAATGAATTACTAGAAAAATGAAGTCAATACAGAAACATTCAAAATACATGCCCAATTTTTTAATGATTATATTCAACAAACAAAATTATTCTGTCAAATTGTTGTCAAGGTTTTGAAACATTTATTTTCAATTTCTTGTCTCAGACCAGTAGTAAACAGTTTGTGGACTGGCACTGGCCCATGGACCACACTTTGAGTAGTATTACCTTGCACCACTACCACAGTGCCCAGTTTATGGTAGGCGTTCAATAAATGCTGGGTTTAATACATTCCTTTATAGTGTTTTCTACTTTGCAGAGTGTTTCACATCTCTTTCTTCATTCTATCCTCATACCACCTACAGAATTAAGTGAAGAAGATTTAGTCATTCCCATTTGACAGAAGAGGAAGTTGAGGCACGCAGATTAAATGATTTTCCTGATCTAAAACAGCTCCTTAAGTGTCAGGGCCAAAATTAGTCTCTGACTCCAACTGCATTTTGTGGCAGCAGCACTAAGAAAACCCTCCACTCAGCGAGAACGTCCCAAGAATTCCACCAATTAGAAATAAGAAGACCTGTCTTAGGCTTTCCAAATGACAGCGGGTTGACAACGTGGTGTAAAAATCGGCGATCTAATTTGGAATCCAGGCTTATGCAAGAGATTTTACTTCTGAACCTGTCTTCTTATCACTAAAGTAGGGATATTAACAGCTTCTCCACAAATCTGTACTAGTACTAAATGGTGAAGGTAAATAGCCAGGTATGTAATTCAGAAAGAATGTTTATTACAGTTTAGGACTGCATTGAGGGGCTTGCTCTGTAATCTAATAACGTGGAAATGCACGCCACCTAGTGGTAGAGTGAAGAACTGGATTGCTCTTGGAAGGCTGAGATAATAAGTGAATCATGCCGTTCTTGCCTTTGTTTTCGCATTAGCTACTAGAAAGCTCAGAGCCAAATGTTTGATCTACCCCTAGCAAGCGAACAGGACTTTACATACTGTATTCTATGATAATATCACCTCTTATTTCACTTTATTTTTTCCTATCTGTACTTCCCCTTGGCTTAATTATCACATTTTTAATATATTTTGTAGGTCATTTTAAATACCCTTTAGAATATACAGAATGGTGATTTATTAAACTGGATAACAATATGACAAGGATACACTCTATTTTGGGTTACTGTTGTTCCATCCTGGCAAAGTTCAGAACCTAACAATACAAGAACAGATAAGTTGACTCTAAGATGTAATGGAGATTAAAAATAATTCAAATTAAAAACAAGACTTTAAGACTCCAAGCTTATGAAAATGGAAATAGCCACCACCAATTAATTAGTACTGGGATGCTACAACCTGCATTAGGTGGCTTGTTAATTTATTTATACACTGGGTACTTACCATGTGCCATATACTGTTTCAGGTACAGAAAATACAGAAGTGAAGAAACAGACAAAAGTCCATGCCCTCACTGAGCTTACACTTTGTGTGTGCTTGGGGGGGGGGGGTGAAGACAGATGATGAACAAGATAAATAAGAATATTATATGGTATATGTAGGAGGTAAGTGCTATGAAAAAATAATTAAGCTGCAAAGGAATATAGCATGATCTGGAGGGTGACAATTTAAAATAGAGTGATCAGATATGGCTTTGGGAAAAGGTGACATTTAAGAAGGGACACAAGAAAGAACTTGAAGGAATGAGAGAATATGCCATGCTGGTACCTAGAGGAAGAGCATTTCCCACAGAGAGAAAGCAATTGTTGTGAAGGCTCTTAGATGGGAGCATGCCTGGTGTGACTGGGAACAGTGAGGAGGCTGCTGTGGTAGAAACAGTGTGAACAAGGAACAGAGTAGTTGGTGATAAGGTCACAGAATTCACGTGGGCCAGATCTGTGTTGGATAATGTAAGGATTTTTTACTCTTGCTCAAGTCATGGCTTAGTAACCATGGGAGGGTTTCAGAAAGTGAGTGGTCTGATTGACTTTTCTT